ACTATGTAGGGAGGCTCACACACACACACAACTAAGTAGCGAAAACAAGGAGGATAATGAATTGTGAACGTACTCCTAAACGAACTAGAGTACAAGGTAATAGCCTTGGTAGACTCGTCCAGATTTCTTCTGTTGCTGCTGTTTCTGTCTTTGATCCGAAGGCTAGTTTTGCCTCCCCCATGCTGCCCCCTAACGGGGTCCCAGTTCATGGCAGATACAAGTGTTTTTTTTGTGTTTTCAACCGCACTAAGAGCGACGTCTTTTCGTTGGTCAGCCGGTTAGCGCGGTCGATGCTAATAATAAAAACACACACGGAGGCATTTCGTAAACAGAGTGAAAATATATTTTCCCAAGAGAGTCGGTTCCACGGGCGGTGTTTAGCAGGTGAAGAGTCCGGAGCGGAGCTACTATAATAATACTCATCATGTGTGCATGTTGTGTACTGCTGTGTACAAGATGCGCCTTTTCTATTCTGCTGCTGCTGCTGCTGCTGCTGCTGCTGCAACTTCGACTGACTGCCTCCTTACTTCGCGGCACATCGTTTGCCCATTGTCTGGAGAGTGGAAATCTTACAGCAGCAGCAGTGTGGTTGGTGTAAGGGTGCTGCTCCCTCTCTCGTAATCCTGACCCACGACGCGACAAAAAAAAAAAACTGATCGTCTCTCGACCACGTCTCATACAAGTATTACTGCTGTATTCTGAAGTCGGATCTCTCCGGTACTTCCATCACATATCTATGAATCTACATATCTTTGCTGCACACCAGCACACCTTGTAGAATCTACAGGCGGGCAAGCACCGCGCCGATGGCTGAATCACATCACGCTGGGACGTGCGTGCGAGGTTTGTTTCAAGATGGACAGAAGAAGGCTGCTGTGTTCCAAAGCAGCACCATGGACAAATAAGGCGAGTTCGATTTCTCACTCGATAATTTATCCGTGCCAAAAACAGACGCAGCACGAACTACACATACAGCAGTATGTACACGAACAACGCTGCGTACATATTTCTGCAATCAAAGGCGGAGGAGCTTTCGAGAAATTGTTGGCTCACCCACCGCCGACTCCACAAGCTCGTCCGCCCTTTCCAAAACCTGGCAGCCAAGCAAACCAAATCTATGCAGCGCGCAGCGGCTAGCTAGCTGCTGCTGCTGCTGCTGTGTGCACCAACAAAACGACGACTTGTTGTGTGTGGGTGCACGGGTTGCTCTCAGCACCACTCAAAAAACAAGTCGCCTCGCCGCGTTGGTTGGTTGGTTGTGTGCGCAACATACGGCTGCGTTTTGCTCTTATGCTAAGACTTGCTGTGATCGGCATTTTATCATTGAAAGAGGAAACTAATTCACCGAACTTCTCCACCGATTTTTCTTGTTGTTGTCCAAGAGGAGTTTGGACGGCGACGATCGAGGAAGAGCGCAACCACGACACACACCCAGCAGGCTGCTACACCTTGCCTCCTTGCCCTCGCTCTCACCTGCTCCATTTTTTGTTGCGTCGCAGCCAGCAGGCCAACAACCCGCGGAAAACAGGCGGACAATAAAAAGTAGCAGAGTGGCTTGTTTCTCTCTCTCGCGTCTAAGCTACCCCGCGTGCTGATGGAAGTGTCTTCGGTGTAGTAGCTCCTCTGCTGATGCCCTGCCAGGAAACTTTGCCACGCGCGAGAGAGCCGCGGTTCAGCGAAGGATCCTGCGCAGCAACGCTTCTCCTCCTCCTCTTCCTCGCAACAGGGCTTCCAAGCCCCCCGCTCGTAGTAGTAGTGATGACGCTCGCTGATGCTGCTGCTGAAAAAATAAATGATGATGGTGTTTGTGGGGGGAAAGCTGGATCTGCTGGCTGCCGTTGAAGAAAGATTGTTGAAATCGAGTTCAGAGAGAGCGGGCACAAAAAAAAAACGAAGGCGAATTGATCCCCCGCCTGCTTGCTGCTGGCTGGGCTAAAAAGTCACATCAACTGCAACACCAATAAACCACAGCTTGACAGCAGCTCGCGGAAAAGTTTAGCCCGCCTCTGCGCCAACATCGCACGGCTCCCCTAGTCTGTTTACGCGGGTGTGGGGTGTGCTGCTGCTGCTGCTGCTGCTGCTGCTGCTGCTGCAATTACACGCATATATGCCGGGTAGACTTGGCTTTTGGTCGAGTCAGGGGGAGAGGTGGACCAAAAAGGCTGGCTCGGCGGTCGGCAGATTACAGTACCTGTCTCCAGGTCGGAGCGGAGACGATGATGATCATGCTGCCAGCGCAGCTATGTGCAGCTATGTATGTATGTGTGCATAGACAATACTGCTGTAGCTCTAAGTTTGGGAAGGCAGAGCCGCAAGGCTATGACTTCGCTGCTATACTTGGTCGTGTGTATATAGTGTCCGCTGCGTGGTGGGTGTACACGAGACCCCGACCCTGCTCTATACTTGTTTGTTGTTGACTGACACATATCACACCATGGCAACGATGATGATAGCGATATTGCGGTCTATTTCGGGCGAATAAAGGAATGCTGCTGCTGCTGCTGGGTCATTGTCTACGAGTACTTGTCGTACGTTTAGGTACACAGCAGGCAGCTATGCATAGTAGTCTAATATGGCATGGGCACATGCGTATATGCATACCAGTTTGCCCCCCGCCACCTATTATACCATAATACCTGACAGTAAATTGGCGGTACCCGCCTGATGTTCCAAACTAATCACCACATACATTCGCATGCTCTTGCGATTTTTTCCCTGTTGTGTGTGGCTGCCGGTTTCCTACACACAGCAGGTCGCTGAAGAAGGCGGAGACGGGGGCGGCACAGTCTACAGCAACAGCGAGCAAGTCTATAATAGACCACACACACACACACACACACACCGTCCCATACCCCCCCCCCTGCCCCTGTATACATACCTGCACCGAGGGCGTAGCAGTGAATATAATTCTGCCCGTTGTTTAAATACTCATCGATGTAAGGTTTTTAATGTAAAGACAACAACAACAACAACAAACAACAACAACAACAACTAACAATGGATATGATGTACAACAACATACATACGTTCATGTAACGTCTTCGAACCACCGGATTTTTGCAAGCGACACATATTTATCTTTTCTACCCCCTGCCTGTCACCTTCCACGGATCCAACCATTCAACTACTACGCACACGTAGCGTAGAATAGATGTGGGTACAGCAGTACACTCTCGGGCGCTCTACATGCAAGCAGTGATCATGCGGAGAAGACAAGAGGAATAAAACTGCTGAGATGACCCACAACAAACAACAGATGCTTCGTTCGTCCCACCACAGCGGCAGTGAACCTGTGCGCCCCCCCTGCACGGTATGCATATAGTCTATGCACACGACATCACCACCGATCCGACATCATTTTTGTCGTTCACCCCAACCAGCAGAGAAGTTCTGTATAAACTCTATCTACAGCATGCAGCCTAAGATTCGCCCCAGGATACACATACATATGCACAAGACTTGATGATACAACACTAATGCTGTCTACTGCTGTGTGTAGGTGTTTTTGCTTGGCATCATCACTTGTTTCTCTCAGGGTGGAAGGAGTCCATTAATGGACTTTTTATTATCCAGCAGCAGCAGGCAGCTGCCAGGCGCTATCGAATCCCCATGGTTGTAAAGGGTGCAGGGCCTCCAAACACAAATAAATATATGGTCAGGAGAACGCCACCAACATAGCCTACATTCATACAAGGTGTATTATTATTGTACCCGCCGGGCACAAAACATACTACCTGTGTCTACAAAATTTGAAATAATGGACTGACAGCTGTTGAGCGCTCCGTTAAAATTCCTACAACTATCAAGGCAACAAGCACTGCATGCAGGAAAATGGCGGAGAATGTGTGTGGTGGCCTTGTGTGACCCTGCCGGGTGCGTCCAGATGAGTTGTGTACCGAAAGAATGGTGTCCCGACGTTCAGAAAAAAAGGGTATAAAAAAAAAAGGTCGACGTTGGTTGTGGTATAGTCTATGTTGTTATCCCACACCCAGAAAACACAAGACTTTCCTCTGTGCAAAACGAGACGTGAATCGGGGCACACTTCTGTACGTACGCATATCATACGTACCTTGATGATAATTATCTCGAACCGAACATCACTAACAACTTTGGTAATCAGAACATATGTCTATTGACCACACCCAAGGGTAACAGAGTGCTTGCGCTTTCGCGGCTGGATCGTTTGGGTATTGTAGGGACATCCCAGCCTACGTTATTATCCCCCCCCGAGCCTTGCTCGCCCTCCGGGTATGCCCAAAGAAATTCCGCGTGAAAAAATATCTCCCACACAGCAGTCAAATAAATCGTTCGTCGTTCTTGAACACGAACCGCGTCATGGACATACATTATCCAACCACATCTCTCGGTCGCAAAATTGCTTCATGCCCACGCGCTTAAAGGGGAGCAGCACGCGTCAAACGACAATGGATCTATCTGAAGATCTGAAGATCTGAAGAAGGCATCTATCTGAGGACCCCAGATTTGCGAAGTGTTTCTTCCCCCAGGTTCGCCCATCTGAAAAAGGTTTCTCTTTGACACATGGGTCACTGCATGTGAGGCGGCGCATCAGATCGAAGACCCGACTCGAAGACTACCAAGTGTCCTCCACGGTCTCGATGAAGGCGCACTCACTGCACGTCATGGCCCCCGAAAGAACTCCGGATCATCTGCCCGTGCCGTGTGGCCATTCACAACACGACCCGTGAGAGACCTACAGCAGTGAGTGGTGCTCCGCAAGAGTTGCGACGTGATACCAGTCAGTGGGCAGCGAGGTGCATCCGAATCATGCGCGTGCTTGGCACATCGTCACCGCCTTGCCTGCCTACTACGTACTTTTGTCTGTCTGTCTCTCCACACCAACATGCAGAGAAAAAAAAAAAAAAATGTGCGAATTCTCTCTGTGTCTCTGCCTGCGTCTCTCTCTCTCTCTCTCGCTCTCTGTCTCTCCCTCTCTCCCACACACAAATGCGAATAATACTGCCACACCCTTGACGCATCGCTCAGCCCTTCCGTTGTTTTTTCCGTCCCGCCGCCCCCTTGCTGCTGCTGCTGCTTCCCCCCTGGCCCGTCCCCCCTCCCCGCTTTCTCGAAGAAGCCTTGCTGCTACTACGTCCAGCGGAGAGGGATGACGCCTTCGCGGGCAGCGGCGCCTCCGGATTGTCGGGGTCCCACGCATCCAGCACTTTCTGGTAGTCTTCGAAGCTCGCAAACGCCGTTTCCTCCTCCTTGCCGGTACTTCGTCCCTTTTTTCGACTGCCGTGGCTTGGCCGCTTGGCCGCATTCTTGCTAGAGCTCCTTCCCCCTCCGCCTCCTGTGGAAGAAGCGGTTTCGGGTGGCGCTTCCTTGGTGCGTTTCTTGCCGGCACCAGCTTCTTCGGTGAAACCGCCATCTTCCTCTGAGGAAGATGAGTCTGTGGCGTCGTCGGCTAAGATCATGGACATTTCATCCTGCGAACTTCCGCCGCCGCTGCTGCCGCTGCTGCTGCCGCTGCTGCCCTCACCCTCTTCTTCTTCTTCTTCTTCGCTTTCTTCTTCTTCGTCATCGTCATCGTCGTCTTCGCTCTGTCATGGAAAACCAACGAAAGGGTCAACGGACATGAATGAGCAAAAACATATCACGCCCTCCTGTCCAGAACAACAGGCCATGGACCTACAGGAAACGGACATGAGCAAAACACGACTCGACCTCTCGTCCAAAGCAACAGGCGGTGGACCTACACATCGCTGTGCCTGGCAGACATGATTCTACGCTACAGCAGTTGTACGAAAGCACACCGAAAGGGGTGAGCACTGATGTCCAGAATACAAGAGGGATGACAATACGCACGCACATGAGCCTGACGTATGCTTGTTGGCTCAGCCAGACAGCGCGGTCGATGCTAATTCAAAACACGAACACACACACAAACACAATCGTCTTATTGGTCGTTCTAAGCAGCCCAAGAAACCTTTGCCAGATCTCCATCCAGTTTCTCCCAGCAGACCTCGGGACGGAAACTATAATACCCTCTTCTCCTATTATCGTGGTTTCGCTCACCTCGCTGCTACTGCTCTCCTCTTCTTCAGGGGCTACCTTCCCCTCCTTCAGCCAGCTCACCCTCCTGCCCTTCGTCGAAACCTTCTTCCCTCCTCCTCCGCCCTTCCCGCCGTCCCCGCTTTCGTCCTACGCGTCAAAAAGAGAGGTATAGTAGGTACCCCAAAGGCGAAAGCACCAACACATGGCGCACGCAGCACACACACGCGCGCGTTAGAGAGAGAGATTAAGTGTGGCGTTCTCATTCACCGCATTGCGCATTCTTCGAATTTCGGCCCCTCTTGTAAAGCCAGCCCAATCCGCGGGGCACGCGCCCTTGTTTACGCCCCGCACCCTTCCACCCACCTCCTCTTCCTCTTCCCCTTCCTCGCCCTCGTCCTCATCGTCCTCTACGCCCGTTTCGTCCAGGCCGTCTGCGATTTTCCTGAGAGCCGCGGCCTGTAGCGGCGGAGAAGGAAGGGGACACAAACAGCGACCGACCCACATGCAGGCATGAACAAAAGTAAGCATGAAGAGACTTCTAATGATAAATCGCCCCCACTGGTGTTGCTGTGGCCAGTGTCGCATCTCAAGTCTCGTTCCCCGTGTAGCGCAAAAAAAGCTGGCTGCTGCAGTGGCACGATGTCCCACAAGGGACGTGAGAACCCACCAACCAGGTACCGCACTCCAAGAACGATTTAAGATAGGACCATTGAGGGAGGGGGGCAGGATAGGGTTTTTGACGCTGGCTCTTTTTCTCATACTTTAATCCAGCATAGAGAAAGAAAACAACCTTCCCGCCTGGGGAAATTGGTACTAATATCAGGAGAGGACACCATCAAGAGGCGTCGTGCGTGCTGGCACGTTCAGGTTTGCTACTGGAGCTGAAGTCTCGAAGGTCGCGGCAGCCTCTGAAAACAGTCCGAAATCTGCGCCGGAACCAACTGGCAACCAACATTTGTCACAGCCGTGCTCACCACCACGGACCGTAAACCCCTGAACGGAGGGTCGTCAGCAGTAGCTAGTGGCATCAGCTACTGCTAAAAACCCGCAGTCCACGAGATTGGGGTCAGTAGCGGCGAGCACAAGCAGTGGAAGACACTGGATGTCGGTCAAATTTGCGGGGGGTTGCGCAGGTTGTAGGCCGCTACTACGACCCTCGGTATCACCACCACAGAAGCAGATTTGAGCGCGCCAACACGCACCCCCCGCTGCTATGGGATGTCCTCTAGTGATGTAAGTACTATGCACCAGGTTCCTGGCAACACAGAGCGTATTTATCCGCCTGCCGTTTTGGCTCTTCTGACTTGAATCTAGAATGGTGCGAATGTTTTTCTTGATTTCAAAGGAGGCGTGTGGAGGTAGACGCGTGAAATGTATGTGTTGAGCAGCCTCTACTGCCGCCCTGTGCGAGAATCAACGATTTCCGTTTTTCGCGATGCCTTCCGACTGGTCTTGTGTCTCTCGTGTGTGCCATTTCTGGTGCTCTTGCGTTTGCTTTTCAAAGTTCGTCAGCATCAAAGTTCGTGTTCTGCCACCCCCTAACAGCAGTCTCCGCTGTTCCAGGACGCACGCTGAGACAACAACTACAGCGCAATGGCTACAATAGACGCTACCTTCCCCGTCCATTCATAGCACAACGGGCCGACGCGACTGAGCAACGTTCGAGCTACATATTGTCAACCCCACAGAGACGCTGCTTTCCCTTCTCGCAACCACCCCCACCCCAACAATGCTGAAGACAGAACTCAGCAGGAGAGCATCGCTCGATACGACCAATACCTTCAAAGAACGGAATTCAGTCCAACCCCCCGCCCCCGCCCCCGGACACGAGTACACGAACGAGAGCGCGGCGCAATAGATAGCTCACCCCTGTGATCTGCCCATCGCTGTCTTGTTCATCTTCGCCATCGCTGCTGTCCGAGTCTTCGGCCTCCATGAAATCGTCGGCATCGCCCCCTGCCTTGAAGCTGCCCTTGCGCTTCGAGCCGCCCTCGTCTACAACAACAAAAAAAATATTTGAGAGAGAATAACACAAGGGCGAAGCAAACAAAAAATGGGTCACAATGTTCCCCCAAGCAGGGTGTGTGTGAGGCGGGAATCGTCACGATGCAGGAGGCCATAGAAGCCAAATCCAAACCACAACAAGCAAGCGGAAATCAAACTAATTAGACGAGTCAGCGCTGACTTTGATTTAGGCTTTCATCTACGCCGAGAATCGGGATGGATCCAGCTCCCAATGACCCCCCCGCTGATCTGGCTACCCATACCATCGCTATCGTCGTCGTCATCGCCATCGTCCATATCGCTCCAGCCATCCATGTCCGGATCCTCGTCGTCGAGCCCTGCCGCTCCGCCCCCTCCGGCGGCGGCATCGCGCATCAACCCCTCGGCCAGCTGCATCGCAAACGCCTGGTGACACGAAACGCACAACAACAAAAAAAACTACTTGAGTGAATAGGCTAAAATAAAACAGACTCAAGATAAAAGCCTAAAATCCAGTCAGTCGGTTTTTCTCCCACCCACTCACTGTCACTGCAAAGACTTCCAACACATTCCCTTCCACTGCTGTGGTTACATCTCGAACGGCTAGTCTTTTCTGTGATCGTATGAATGTTAATAAAACAAAAAAAAACACGAAGACAGCACGAGAGGACATACAAACTCGTGGCCGTGTTTGGGATATATATATATACATACAGTCGTGCGCGGCTTCAACGCTACTGGTCGGGTCCAGAGATTTCATTTCCACACCACACACCACACACAAGGGGCCACGAACCTCTTCCTCGGCATCGTCATCGTCCCCCAACCCGGCCGTATCGTCCGCCTCATCGGCAACGTCATCCACCATGAACGAACTATCGGGGTCATCCTCGTCGTCTTGGCGCCTCCGAGCGCCCTTTCCGCCGGCGGCGGCTGCGGCGGCGGCGGCCGCCTTCTTCTTTCTGTAGGAAGCGGACGTGATGCCCCTGGCGCGGTCGCGCGTGGCCTTCTCCCGGAAGAAATTGTGAAAGAAAACCTTTTTTGTTTTGACGGCGGCGGCGGCGGCGGCGGCGGCGGCGGCGGCCGCGAGGCGACAAAAAAAACACACACGATGAAGCAACTAATCCAAACAGTTGAAATCAGATTAAACGACAAAGGAAAAGCAGTGATCCCGCTTTATAATGCCGGTGAAATCGTCTGGTACAGATAGTACTCAAGTTGTTCCATATTCTGATTAGTGCCGGTTTCCGGCTACTACCCGGTTCAAGATGCTGGCACCTACCGGCATAATTTTATGCCGGGACCACTACTACTGTAAAATGGAACTAATAGAGGGAGGAACGACAAACCGTTTAGGTTTGTACGAGCCTTCGGTGCACGTTCTTTTAGAACAGACACTCCGGGACGGTATCTACAAAGGTAGGGATCGCAGCTCTTCCATTTCTAGAGCGCTTCATTGTTAATGGGGGAGGGAAACCGTGCAAAGAACAAAGAGAGAGCAAGCACACAACGAGAGGGTCTGAAAATAGCAACAATAAAGCGGGTTGCGATTTTTGAGAAGGCGTTTTCTCTCACGCTTGAAAATACTTTCTCAAGAACACAGGTAGGCATGCATGCATGTATGTATGTATGAATGTATGTGTGTGGTATGTACCGTATATGACACAAGATAACACACGCGCTGGACCAATTTTCACAGCTCGATTTCGCCATGACGAAGAGGATGCATAGATGAAACAATACATTTTCGGAAAGCTCTCGACGAGACAGCTTCATCGCCACCGATTTCGGCGCTGTGACTCTTTCTGTTGTTGAGAAATCGAGATTTGAAAATCGGTCCAGGGGGTATGTTATCTTGTGACATATTGATGGAAGAAGCGCAATTTACCTGGTCGGCGGAGACAGATTCCTTGGGCTGCGTGATGAAGGCGTCGTCGTTAACGGCCGCGTCCGCTTCGCCCACGGGGGGCTTCACTCGCCGCATCTGAAGCAAACAGACCATTGAGCGGCAAACAAAAAGGGCGCGGGGGGGGGGTTACTCCTAGTCGTGCATGCCGTAGTCGTTAGACCATTTTCCTCGCATCTCAACAAAGCCGGGACGGAGCACGCCGGGTTCTCAACGGGAATAGGCTCTCACATCACCAAGCGCAAAGCACCGTGAGGTATTCGGCGAGTCGCGTGAAGGGCGCGCTGCATCCTGTTAAGGGCGTTCGTTCGGCACCTTGTGCTTACTTCCTTGCGTACGGACGACAGCTGCGTATGATTTAATTTATTTTCTGGTGCTTTCACTTCCAGAGACAGTTAAGAGCGCTGTGTAACTGCTTGGGGGGTGTTGGCCAAAGTAAACAAAAGGGGGTGGGTTTTTTCCTTTGGCGGGGAGGGGGGTTTTTCCCCCCCCCACAACATGTTTTCCGGGCCCCCCTTTAGGGTTCCCGCAAAAAAAAAAAAACAGGGGCAAAAACCAAGGGGAAATGGGTTGCGGAGCTCGGGAAGTTAGGGGTTTTGTTTTAAAAGGTGGTTGCCAAGGGACGAAAACCCAACCCAGAGGGCAAACCCCGGGGGGGGAACCAGGGGGGGGGGGGGGGGGTTAAGAGGATAACACGCAAGAACAAGAAAGCAAAGAAGGAGCGGAGGAGGCCAGAGAGGGTTGCCTGGCTCCTGTGCAACCGCGGCTGGCACGTTCAACATACGATACACTGAGTGGTGTAGACTGGCGCCACAATAGATGGGATCAACACAGACTCTGACTGGTTTTCATTGGTCAGCCGGGTAGCACGGTCGATGCTGGTAAACACACACAAGTACACGCTGACGAATCTGCCGGTAAACGCGGTCGATGCCAACAAACTGGTCAGCCGGCTATGTAGCGCGGTCGGTGGCAACTATACAGAAACACACAAGCAACACCTGGCGTCTTTCCATTGGTGAGGCGGTTGGCGCGGTCGATGGCAACCAAAGAAAAACACACAAAACGCACACATATTGTCCATTGGTCAGAGCCGCGTAGCACGGCCGATAGAAGAAAAACACCCGCACCCGCACACACTCACTCCTCGCCCCTGGTTCTTGTCGTCCCTAGCCTTGGGGTTCTTGTAGGCCATCCTGTTGAGGAAGGGCATCAGGGCCAGGTCGGCAAGGGGATCCCCTTTGTACTGGACGGCGTGGTTCTGCTGCTTGGACACCAGGCTGTCGGCGAACCTCGACACGGAAGGGTGCACGTGCGACCGGAGGAGCGACGCCTCCCAAAGCGGCTGAACCCCTCCCCCTCCGCCTGGGTGCAATTTGTTTTTGTTATTGGTACGTCAGTAGATCCGTAGTAAGCGCACCACCAGTACTGGAGGAGATGTCGGATGGCTTCTCTCCAAAAGCATGAATGAAAAAACAAGTAGGGTTTACTCCGTAACGGTTTTTTAGGCGGACAGGTTTTCAGCGGTAATGCCATTTGGCGGTAATTTTTTTGGCGATAGGCGGTAGTGCGCTTTTCGGCGGTAACGACTTTGGCGGAGGCGGCAAAACCAAATTTCGGCCGTAATTTTTCGGCGGTATTGCCATACGGCGGTAATTGTTTTGGCGGTAGGCGGATATACGGTTTTCGGCGGTAACGACTTTGGCGGAGGTGGTAAAGCACCATTTTGGCGATAATTTTTTGACGGTAACAAGTTTGGCGGAGGCGGTAAAACCAACAACATGGCGTTAAAACGGCGGATTACCGGGACCGCCCGCCACGGCGTTAATTTCCACGGCGGTAATGATTGACATTGCCTATGACCACAACCTTTACGACACCAAACAAGGAAGCAATTACGGTGGTAAGTTGCCGCGCCCGAACAGACGTTTTGTCGTTTTCACCAGTGGCTTTCACATTTTAGAGTCAATTCGACGTAAAATCATGTGCGCGCCTCCTCGTCTCCCTGTCCACTCAATCACTCAACCACTCAAAACATTCAATGGTTCTCCCGAAAACGAACCCGAACCAAAGAAGAGAGACACTCGTGGATGACAGGTGTAGAAGTGCTGTAACCATTGTTGCACATACAAAAGAAGGACCAAGATACGATCCGAACGGAGTATCTTACCGATGGTTGATCAGCAAGAAACCCGAGTATGGATGCGTGCGTCCCTCTTGGCGCCACCTGCGGAGCTGGGGAATCCGAGACCCTCGGGTTTGGTCTCCCTCGCCCCACCGACGGCACTCTCTCTCGTTGCTCTCTCTTCTGAGACCCTCTCCTCTCTAAATCTCAAATGAAGAAAACTGCCCGCCCTTAGTACAAGTGGTGGGTAAAGACTAATACTGCGACCTGGGTCTCCCCTCAACGAGGGAAGCCTGTGTTCTCATTGGCGTCGACCAATTACTACATACACATGAAAGAGAAATGGCCGGAAAAAGTACGTCCACACGTGGACTCGAACACCTGATTCACACTGCTGTGGTTGTACAGCAATCGAGGCTAGACCTCTACTCACTCAGCCAATCGTTCGGCGGTAACGTACCTAAAATGTTTCGGGGGCATTGCCGACTGGCGGTAATTTTTCGGCGGTATTGACGTATGGCGGTGATTGTTTTGGCGGTAGGCGGTAGTTCGTTTTTTGGCGGTAACGACTTCGGCGGAGACGGTAAGACAGAATTTTGGCGGTAATAGTTTTGGCGGTAGGCGGAAACGCGTTTTTCGGCGGTAACGCTTTCGGCGGAGGCGGTAAAACAATAAAACTGCGGTAAAATGGCGGATTACCGGGACCGCCCACCACGGCGGTAACTTGACGACGGAAAAATTATCGAAAAATGGCATGCGCACCACGAAAGGGAGGTATTGCATGCCTTCTCCAAAAACAACAACAAAAACATGATACACGCACCTGAAAACTTTCTACAAACTTGGGAGACATGGCGTGTCTTCTCTCCACAGCCGAAAACAAAAAATACAAATCACAAATTATATCAAATACAAACACGTACACGCACAAATCAATCAATTCTATGAACCGGAAATATCCACATCATTCTCGAGGGAGGTGGGAAGGGGGTTCGGAGATGGGAAGGAGGGGGGGTCCCATCGAAGCAAAAATTGAGCCCCGCGGGACGACCGTTGCCTACGAACCAAACGTCCGTCACTAGTTTTAGCATTCCAAGTGGTTTATGCGGGGGAGTAGGGGTGGACGCGCAGCTCCAAAAAACGCGGTCAGTCGGAGCAAAAAAAATCCACGCGAGAGAAAGAAGGACAAGGAGGGAACAACATTGAAACGGAATTATGGCACCTTTTTCGCCAAAAACTCAAGAACAGTAGTGGTACTTCCGTCCTTTCGCCGCGTGCACACACCTACAAAAAAAACACGTGGTAGTATTGTACCTGCGAAGGCGAAGCGCGGATCTCTCTTGGAAGGGTCGTACCCGGGGATGCTCATCCCCGCGTCCCCCCCCCCCCCAGTCTTCCTGGCGCTGGCAGACGCGTTCCTTTCTCCCCCACCCGTCGCCGCCGGCGGCGGCTCCTCGAGATCCATCACGTCTCCGTGGGCGGCTGGAGCGGTGGTGGCGGCAGCGGCAGCAGCAGCAGCAGAGCTACCGCTGGCGGCGGGACGAGCGTTCTCGAACAGCGACCGCCTTGGGGTGGTTTGTTTGCGAAGGGGTTGAAGGATGAGCGAGTCAGCCGTAAGGGAGGCGACAAGAAATGGAATATTTCGACGTGTGGGCGTTCATTTGCAGGGGAAAAGGGTTTGATTCCAAGGCTCGCTTCGCCTACATGCGACTTGACCCGTTCGCTTTACAAGGTTGGGGAGTTGGGGACTGATACGTACTTTGTGCGGGAAAAGGTTGAAGTCTCAAGCTACTTGGTGCGAAAAGCCGAATAGCAACACTCCTGCCACTTCGTAGTGTAGATACTTTGGGGAAGCAGGTAAACATTTCTGAGTGAGCGGCGAGGGCACACAAGAAAAAACCACCAGGCGCAACACAACACGCAAGACCTTCTAGCCACAGCCTCTCTCGTTGTCGACGTCTCTCTCACCTGAGATCGGGATGCTTCTTGAGAGCCTCGGACACGACAAACAGTCCCGCCGCCGCAAGAGGGGCGTCGCAGACAGCAGTCACCTAACAAACAAGAGCAAAAAAAAAAAAAACACAAGTCCGTTCACCGCAATTGTCACACACGTACATTCATGCATCAACGCGAACGGTGTGTATTGTTTCATATTTTACGCACACAATTGTCACAAATGTGAAGACAGAAAGCAGTCGTCCCTCGCGGTTAAGAGCCATTTAACAGGCATGGTGTCCCGGAGAATGTAAAACACAGCGGGGGGTACTAATATGGAGGACGCTTCCCCGGCTTAAAGGATACCTGTTTTGTCCAGAAACCATGTGTGTGTGTCCCTAACCGAAAGGACGACTACTGCATGTAGTTATCGTGGACGGTGAACAAAAACGCCAAAAAGGGGGGGGGGGGGGGGGGGGGTTGCCCGCTTTTAGGTGAATGGGCGTGTTTCTCCCAGTCGAAGCTCTCCGACCCGTGCTCGCACAGAACACTTAACATTCCCTCCGCGGACCATCACCTTTCGTTCGCCTGCGATGACTCTAGAGTAAGCGCAATCAGGAGCTTCTGGCAAAAAATCGTCAAAAAAAAAAAGTGTAAAAAAAATAGGCGATCGTTGAACCCATGTCGACAAAATTAAGAACCAAGGGCGACCGCGGCCGGCCCTGGCGTCCAGAACAGACCGCAAGAAATGGCGACGCTTGCTTGACATTTTCCTAGCGCGTGTGCGTGGAGCTGCAGCAAGCGAGCGAGCGGGGCTTCATTCGAAAGTCCCCGATGGCACCATAAACACGGCATGCATCGCTAAGAAAAAGCTCACCCACGCGAGAACTGTTCCATGCACGTCCGCGAGAAACTGATGCATACTCGTATAACATTACCAACGGGAGCGCCTCTTTCCTTATCAATAAAGTATCCACTATTTAATTGTTTTGGGGAGGGCATTGGCGCTTACTGAATCCATACATACACGATTCCTTTTTGCTTCTGTACTGAGTAAACATGCGATACTTTTTTTTTTTTCCCCCGGCCGCACCGTACCTGCAGCAGCCTCTTGGCAAACGCCGCCGCCCTCGCCTCCTCCGTGTCAGCCTTGATCGCCTTGTACACCAGGTTAAGGAACAGGACCGGGTTCGAAGCCCCCCCGAGGTCTGACGACAGGAGCTTCGCGTACAGCGCCGCGTAGAACCGGGCCGAGATGTTGGCACCCCCCTCGCCACCGGCTGCGAGTTCCCCATGCGCCGCCGCCGCCGCGGCGATGGGTTTTCCATTGGCAGCAGGCTTCTTATCGGAACCCGCGGCCGGTTTGTTGGCCGGGGCGGCCGAAACGACCTGAAAGGGAGGGCGGGGGGCAACGCAGGTTGGGGGGGGGGGGGGGTACTCATGTTTCGCACCCTTTGCTGTTGTAATAGACCACTGACCACGCGTCCTCGATAGGTTGGGGTGTGTGTGTGCCAAAAGTGAGAACCTCGAAAATCATGACGTACACATGCGTACGTTGACGGGAAGAGCGGTGAGGAAATCGGGACCACGCAGCGCAGCGTGGGAGCACCACAAGCCGTCTCTTGCCCCTCTCCCGCCCAGAAAACGACAGGAAAACATAGCAAGCCTGGATAAATCCGCGAAGCCCCCCCCACTCCCCCTCCACCGCCCGCCCCCGGTGTTTGCTATCGGGGTCGGGTTTTCGTCGCTTGGCAACGACGTTGTAAAACAAGCCGATCACTTCGTGAACTCGGCAACCAGGTTACCGCTTTTTTTTGTACCTCTGTTTTTTTTGCGGTAACCATGAATGGTGGTCGAGTAGATCATGTTGTGCGGGGTCGAGAACCCTCGCTTAGCGCAACGGGGGATATTCGCACCACGTTGTGTTCAATTGGTCAAGCACCCTCGAAGCAGTTACACAGTGTTTACAACTGTCTCTGGAAGTGAAAGCACCAGAAAGTAAATTAAGTCATACGCAGCTGTCATCCGTACGCAAGGCAGTAAGCACAAGATGCCGAACACCCTTAGCAGGATGCAGCGCACCCTTCATGCGACTTGCCGAATACCTCACGGCACTTCGCGCTTGGTGATGTGAGATCCTGGTCCGGTGAGAACCCGACGTGCTCCGTCCCGGCTTTGAAGGGATGCGAGGTCAATGGTCTAACGACTACGGCATGCACGACCTTGAGTACACCCCCCCCCCCTCCCCGACCGCAGTGGACCATCCACCCTTCCAAGAAAAAACGAAAAAACAAAGCAAACAAACAAACACTCTAGACAATTACTGCCGCCACAGATGATGACACCCCTCGTTGCACACACCAAAAGCAGCCAACTAAGATGGTCACACCTGGACTAACAACAACGCCTCCTCGACAAAACCCCCGTCGCCCCCCCCTCCAGGACATAAGTTTACGAGAAAATAGAACAGGGAGGGGGTACGCAGACCCTATATATCCCCAACCCAACTTCCCCCGGTTGCATACTTTATCCAACATATTTTCTTTATCGAAAAAAAAACGCGAAGGCTACTTACTGCCCCCCCCCCCCCCCCCCCCCCCCCC